GAGAGAGAGAGAGTGAGTGTGTGTGTGTGTGTGTGTGTGTGAGAGAGAGAGAGACTGACAGTGTGTGTGTGTGTGTGTGACTGTGACAGTGAGTGAGTGAGTGTGTGTTAGAGAGACTGTGACAGTGAGTGAGTGAGTGAGTGAGTGAGTGAGTGTGTGTGTGTGTGTGTGTGTGTTTCCTCTCAGATGGACCAATCCTCCGGTGGCCTGTCCGCTCGATCCCTGTGTCTGTATCGTAACTGTAATGAAGCCTTATATTTCTAGCACAGTCCTGTTGTTTTCAGTGAACTTTTTAATATGTATGTGTCAGCCTTTATGTAGGGATTGAATTGTCAGTTTTGGATGATATCAGAAGCATGGGCTGGAATCATATCCCAGTCTCTCTTTTTTGTTTTTGTAATTTTACATTCTCTAGTCCCTTATGTACAATTAAAGTCATGTTACTATCTTTTTATTGTCCTTTATTTAAATAAATCATCTGGTCCTGTAATAGAAATAATGTACAGTCTAAGTACTTATGAACTATTTTTATCACAGTATTATTTATTGCTTTCATTTCAATAAAATACTGAAACTTATTTTCCACTGCCAATAAAAATGTCTTTAAGAACGGATGATTTTCCTGCATCTTGTTATTCACTATATTCATGTTCATTAGTTGTATGATTAGTGTATTTTAATTGCATGATCTACTGCTCATCTCTTATTTTGATTATTCTGCCTGCATTACAAACTCTTGTTTTATTATTATTAATGTAAAACACCTAAGGGCTGTTTTTTGTGCACAGCTTGGTCCATATTTCACCAATTAGAGCTTGATGAGGCCACTGAAACAATTAGTGATTACATTAACTGTTGTGTAGATAATGTGGTAGAAAAAAAGGATGTTGTTGTTTATCCTAACAACAAGCCATATATTACAAAGGACATTAAAGAGTGCATAAATAATAAAAAGCTGGGATAAGGTAGGAGTCAGTCCAGTTTATTTGTACAGCGCTTTTCACCATACAAATCATTGCAAAGCAACTTTACAGCAAACTAAGTTTCTACAATATTTAGTGTTATACTATTAGAAATATAATAGTAGGACTATTAGTGGCACAGAAAGAATTAAAATATCACTTGAAAAAAGCAAAGGAACAGCACATGGAACCGTTTTTATCATTCGAACACAAGAAAACTTTGGGAAACAATGGAATTTCTTAACCCTGCTAAGAAACATATAACAACTTCGGACAACCTACAAAGAGCAAATGTGCTAAATGAGTTTTATTTGAGATTTGAAGCACAAAATGACTTCGAGGAATGTCATAGCACATTACAATCATTGCCTGAGACCAAAGATACCCCCTGGGTAGAAGTAGACCCACGGGATGGGCAGCAAAGGCTACTGGGCCAGATGGGTCATCAGCTTTTTGTTAAAAAACTGCGCTGAAGAGCTTGCAATAGCTTGGTGTCCCTTATTTCAGCGATCTCTTGATACCCACACTGTGCCAGCTCTGTGGAACAAGTCATACATGACACCAATTCCTAAAAACCCTGGTGCTAGAGCAAATGATGATCTTCGTCCTGTGGCTTAGACTTCAAATGTCATGAAGTGTTTTGTGTAATCTCATTGCTGGGAAAAGAAGTAGAGCCACTACTAGACAGCTGTCGGTGTGCCTGCAGTCCTGAGGCTGCTGTTCCTAGCACTGCTCGTCTTGAGGACACTGAAGCCTATGCTCGTCTTTTATTTGTTGATTTTAGTTCAGCATTTAATACAGTGCAGACACATTTGCTTTTAGAGAAGCTGTATGGCATGGGTGTCAGTACTCTTTTAATCAAATGGTTTTATTCTTTTGTCAGTAACAGAACTCAGTGGGTCACTGGGACACTTTCTGAGGTCAGATATAGCAGCACAGAGTGCCACAAGGCTGTGTTTCATCGCCTGTGCGTTTGGCTTTATACACGAATGACTGCAGGAGCACATCTGTTAATCATTATATTATGAAATATGCTGATGACTGTCATTCTGAGTCTCTTACACAAAGATATGGACCTATCATCCTGCCACAGTGAATAGATACTTTCATTCCGTGGTGTGACAAGATCTGTCTTGTGCTAAATGTAAATAAGACAGAAGAAGTGTATCTGAACACAAGCCTGATCATTAAAGACACAGTGATACAGCAAGTGACATCAGATACAGATAGCTGGGGCTGTGTTTGGACAATGCTGTTTGTTGGAGGACACACAAGGCCAGTCTGTGCACACGACTACAGAGGCTTTGCTGTTTAAGAAGGCCGAGGCTGTATGGGGTGGCTAGCCATGTCTTGCTTGTTTTTACCAAGCCACGCTTGAAAGTCTTATTCGCTACTGGTTTGGAAACGTGTCTGTTCACCTGAAAAACACACTGCCTCATATTCACAAAACAGCTATGAACATCACAGGAATAAAACAATATGAGCCCATACAGACTTCATATGAACAGGCAGTGCTGAGAGGAGCTGTACTGATTCCAAACATCCTCTTTTCAGTCATTGCCATCCTGTAAGAGACTAAGACTGTCAGTGTGTAAAACTAATAGACTGAAGCTTTCATTTGTTCCTGCCTCGATAACAGCGCTGAATTTGACCAAAAACAGTGCCATATAGCATATTAGCACTTTATTGGGTTTTGCATATTATACTTATATATTGTTGTTGTGTGTTTGTGTGTTTTATTTATTGTGTTTGTCTTTTCGAGACTAATCTCCTTGCGGGACAAATAAAGTGTACCCTTATATACTCAACTAAATAAAACATTTCGAGTGAAAGCCAATGGCACAGAAAGGAGTTTCCCGATTGGCTGCAGCTGGGCCCCTGATGGTTAATTAAGCTGATTGCAGATAACCCGGCGGTCCGACATCAGCTGCTCCTCTACGGCTCTCATCCAGCAGTGATGACGTCAGCTCGCGCGGCTCTCAGGTGAGTGTTGCAGAGCATCTCTTTCCAGCCTAACCTTCACTATTCAGTTATTTCAGCGTTTGGGTGTAAATGAGCAGCAGACTGTGTGTGTGTCTCTCTCAGGTCCGCTGTGCTCGCGCTGTGTCTGCTCGGCGTGCTCGCGCTGGAGTGTCACTCCTGCCCCCTGCAGGCCGCGGGCCCGCGCTGCAACATCACCACGGAGTGCCGCGGGCACGAGCGCTGCTCCGCCGGATGGAGGCGTTACGGGCGGGTCTGGTTTAGGAGGTCAGGATAATTCAGTTCATTAGTCTTTGCTGACAGATCCTGAACTACACCATCATGTGGGAAATTATCAAGGCGCATCTATTCAATGTTCCCAACTATTGCAAGAAGGTCTGCCTCTAAACTGAACCAGTGTGGCGGAAGCAGATTGTTCGAATGAGCAATGAGCAACATGAAGCAATGAACAGCCGTGAGAGCAAGTGCAGTGAGCATTTCATTCAGGCTTTGGGTCTGGGGGAAGAAAACAGGGGAAATTGCACTAGAGCTGTCAACGTTTGCTTCAGCGTAACATTTTAGTATTTTAAGAGGTGGATGTTTTAGGTAAATGTTATAAAGAAGAGAATCTGCAGATTCAGATGACATCAGTCCTGCATTGACCCAACTGCAGATCAAATTACAATCCAGAAGTGAAATGCTGAGTTTAATTTGTCCTGTAAATTCTTAGTTTGTACTCCGAGATTCACAAGCTCTCAGGATGATGGTCATGAACGCCAGACGTTTCTCTCCTGTATTAAAGTCGTTTCTAAATGGTTAGACTGATGGTTTTACGACTTGTGCTTGGTGCCACTGATGGGAATAATCCTGAGAACATCCAACATCTTGACTCAATCTACGCCTGTCAAAATGTGCTTGGTTTTCTTTCATTTGTAGTTGAATAAAGACTTGATTTCAGAATCAGAGATCACTGTTCATAAAGATTTAGACGAGCAGAATGTCAGGCCTCTGAGCTTGAGATCCAGTCTTGTGCACAGCCTTCATCACATCAGCATAGACAGCATGCAGTGTGATTGAGCTGATTGGTTAATTAAGCTAATTAAGGCAACAGCTCACACCTGCTTTGATGATGTGTTCATTAAAATCATGCTTGAACTTCCTCTTGAAAAGCTGTTTGCTGCAGGCCAGTGGTGTGGGTTTTCTGGGATGAAATGGAGTGTATGGTGTTGTGTAAAGCTGCTCTGCGCTGGATCCCAGGTCTAGTCCTCCTGGTTCTGTGTCTCCGTCCTCCTGCTGTCCTGTGTGACAACCTCTACTGCTACTACTGTCCTCAGACGTCCTTCAACAGGAGCTGCAGGCACGTTCTGTCGGAGTGCCGCCCGCAGGAGCTCTGCTTCACCGCCCGGGGCCGGTTCGGACGTGCACCCGTTCTGTTCTCCAAAGGCTGCATGTCGCAGAGAGACTGCGTCCGATCCAGCAGTCAAATGATCCGCGGGAACAACATCAGCTTCACATACTCGTG